AACAATAACTTATTGTAATTATAATAACATTGTAATAATAACATATTTGTAGAATGTAAAAGTTTACAAAAATTTTAATCTTCATAGTCTACTCTCACTTTGGTATTTTTAACTTCTCTCTTCCTTCTAGCTCTTTCTCATCACCTTGTTAAACTTTTTCTAGCTACTGCCTCTACCTTTACTTCCCTTCTCTGCATGTTTCTTGAAAGATTAATCTAGGCCCTTCCATTTTCTCATCTCCCACTCACTCCTCTCCTCACTTCATACCATATCACTCCACCAATATGTGCACTGTTCTCGGCATTGTCATTCCTAGCTGATGAATATACTAGAAATTTAATTGTTTAAATTAAAAGAAGTAATCAAACTTCAATATTAAAACGAATTATTCATCTGCTCTGTTATGATTATATATTCAACACACGCATTTCCTCATTGAACATGTGGTGGTGGTCTGTGTTGTAAATACTGTTCTATTGCTAGAGCAGTGATAAATAGACCGGGTCTGCCCTCATGGAAATTACGTCTTAGTGGGAGAAAAAAAGAAAACACACACTTAAATGTGTAATATGTAAATAAGGTAATTTTGTATTGTAATAAAGTACTCCAGGATTTTGGGAGAAAGAGAGGCTGTGGGGTTGGTGCTTTTGAACTCTGAAGGGCAGGGTGGTCAGTTTTTATGGGGAAGTGATTTTTCTAGTAACATAATAGTGTTTCAATGCATGTTTGTTTAAAATTAAATGCACTTTTAGAATTGGTGGGGAGGGGAAGGTTTCAGCATCATCCAAAACTTTAAATCTCAGTGAGTATAACTGAAACGTAATATAGAAGAGTGGGGGGATGTCTGGAGATTTAATTGTAAGTCCTCTATTTTGACAACTTTTCACTTCAACATCCTTCACTGCCAAGGTTATCATTTCTCAATTATCCTGTTTCCCTTGTGCTCTGTACAGGCTGCAGGCTGCAGGCTGCTGCTGCTTGGGGAGCAATTTCAAGGTTGCCTTCTCTGTGTGTATTTATCCTTCAGTTTCCTGTTCCTTTTCCCCTCAGTTTTTGCTGTTAAAAATTCACTTAAATTTTGCTGTTTCTACAAAATGCAGCAATTCTGAAAGTGTGTTGGGCCCCTGACAACGTTGGAAAATTTTCAGCTGAGGCCTGGCGGTGGCCTATTGAGTGGGAAGCACACGCCCCTCCCTCTGTGCTCCCGTACAAGGTCAAAGAGAAACATGCCACTCAGCTTTTATTCCTCGGGGTTTTCTTCTTTGATATTGCCCCTTTTCGAAAATCCTCTATCATCCCGTTACACTTCAGTTTGCTCAAGCTTGACTGTTATTTAAAAGTCAGAATAAAACTCACTACAGGTTGGATTTCTCCCTTCTTTTCTTTTCCAGTTTGTCCTTCTTGTCTCCCCTCCCCAACCTCTTTCTTACATTTTTTCCCCCCCTGATTTTCCTTTTTTAATTCCATACTTCTTTCTCCTCACATTGACAACTACACAATATATTTGGCTGGAAGGTACCATCAACAGTCAACAGATACTCATTTACCTGTTATTAAGCTCAGCCTTGGAGGTCCTCAGTAGCCACAAATGTATTGGGCACAATCCCTATGTTTAGGAATCTTATATTAGAGTGGGGGGTGGAGAGAGGTAAATAAAAATTATACAGTGTGTCAGTGGCTATTGCACATGAAGAAGGGAGCTAGCTTAACATGGTTTTGGACAAACCCTACAGGAAGAACTCCAACCTGCACCCTGACCCCTGAAGAGAAGGTAGCATTTTGAAGAGTGGATGGGGGATGGGGTGGGTGGCTGATACGTTTCAGGTGGCACAAAGGTGAAACCCTGGAAAGCACTGAGGACATTTAGTAGAGTTAAAATAAGAGGGGTGGGTAGGAACGGCATAAAGTCAAATGAGAGACATAACGAGTCAACAACAATTGTTTTAAACCCTGATACAGGTCTTTATGTCTTGCTAAGGGCTATGGCCATTTCCCCCATTTGAATGTAGAAGGGAATCATATGGAGGTTTTAATCTTAATGAAGGGTATCTCATGACAATAGTTACATACTTGGCTGTAGCATAGAGAATGCATTACTACATTCAGCCAGCAGTGTTTATCAGGTGCTTACAGAGTACCAAATGCTGCAAATATAGTCATGAAAAAGGCAGACATGACCCTACTTTTCGTTCCTGAGGACAGCAACACTGGCGGCAGGAAGTCCGGTTAGGAGGCTACCGTAGCTGGGAGAAATGGTGGTGGTCTGACCTTCAGTGTTGCCACAAGGACACAAAGCAATGATTACATCTGGGAGAGACTGCGGAGGTATTAAGAGAAGGTGGTAACTGACTGGTCAGAGATGGGGTTCGTATAAGAGAAAGAAGGCAGGGCTCTTTAGAAACTCCCAAATGTTGACCGTCATTCTGCTTTTTCTAGAGTGACAGCCTGGTGACGTGGGTGTTTCCATTTCCATATGTCTAGTTACCAGTTTGACCAGCTGTCAGTTTTGTCATCCTAGTTGGTGGGTGCACAGTGGCATGGAAAATACTGTGGTCATTGACCTTAAAGCAGAGGCCTTTTGCGATGGGAAATCTGTTATCAAGAATTACGTTAAGCAGGTCTTCTTGTCTGATGAGTTTGCCAAAGCACTCCTTCTTTTGGATGATATGCAGTATAATGAAGTTGCAGGAATTGGATGTAGAAAGAGAGGCAGGGTGGTTGAAAAACTGTGAGGAAAAAATAGTCTCCTAACAGAGTAACTAGGGAGAAAGCTGAGGGGAAACAAAGGCAATAGAATGGAAGATTTAAAATGGGGATTTGTCTACTGAGGGGGGAGTAATAAATCAGGTTATTTCTCTTAAGAGGCTTTCTGAGGATCCTAGCATCCTGTGTTACTCTGTGGAGAAATTTTTCTGGAAAATGCTATACCCTCAATATGCCCCCTGTTAAAAAAGTCTGGTTAAATTGGTTGAACCCAGAATTTTTCAAACATGTTTGCCTGTATGTTTTCCACTAATACTTTATTAACATTCTGTGGAACTGGTGCCTCACAAGACACACCTGGGGAAATGCTGGCTAACTAAGTTATAACCACAGGAAGGGGTTAGCATTTATTATATTCTATGCATAGTGTTAAACTGTTCACATGAATTATCATATTTAGTCTTCATACTGTCAGGTAGACATTATTATCCTCATTTTAATGACAACAAAAATACTCCTGAGTTTTTAAATTGAGTTGTCCAAAGTTAAACAGTCAATTGACAGGGAGCCCAATTTTAAACCAGACAATCTAATTTAAAAGGTCAGGCACCTATCCCTTTGGACATTGTCTCAACATGTTACAAGAGCAAGGTCCACAGGGGACCTCCAGCTCTTGATGCCACTGAAACTTCCTTCCTTCATCACAGAAATGGGACTGTCCTCTCATGCACTCAAGGAGCAAACATAACATCCAAATGACTGAACATTCTCTAATCTCAAAGTCATTGATCCCTTATACATGCCACCCAGTGGGTTAGGCATTTTAATGCCTTATTCCATATTGCAGAAGAAGAAACTGAAGCAGGAGATCCAGAAACCCACACAAGACCACACCATAAGAAGTGTGTAAAGCCTGGCCTCAAATCCAGACAGTCAGACTGAAGAGTGTGTCTGCGTTCTTAATCATACAACATTGCTTTATCAATATTTGAATGGGTGCATATGAAACTTCCTTGGGCTAAGAAATGTTAGCATATATTGTTATTAAATATGCATAGTATGCTAATTTATTTTTCCATGCATTTGTCAGTATGAAAGAAAGCCTCCTTTTCAAAAATTGTATAGCCATCATTATTAGCACTGACTCATATTTTTGGAGTTGGAATAATTGGAAACAAAGGTGTGAGGAAAAAGCTAACTTGGAGAACTCAGGAGGAATCAGGCTAGGGCAGGAAGTGACCTTATGAACTTGCTTGCAGTAGAACCAAGGCAAGATTCTGTAGGTCAAGCAAGAATGAATTTGAGAAGACACTGAGTGATGGAAATTTTTTTCATCTCCCTCAAGAATACATGCAGAATAATTATATTTTATAACAGTTTTGCTTACCTCTTAGCAATGTGGAAATGTGAGGATTTTAATGTTTGGCAATTCTGGGTTTGAATTTTTATTCTGTTGTTAAATGTTACCTTAGGCAAATTTCCAAATTTCATCATCTATGAAAAGGGGGTAGATATACCCACATCCCCAATTTGTTCTGAAGAGCAATTGAAATAATATTCCATAAAGCGCTAGAGAAAATAGGTCTTGAACTTTTATTATAAGTAGGTATTATTTTATTATAACATTGCTTTCCTGAGTTTTGTGGACTCAACTTGAAAATGTTCAGTTGGTGTTTTCCTATCTGCTTGCCCACGTTTCTCCTACTTTTGGTAAGTGCAGCGCAGAGGAGCCCAGCAACATTAAAGCACCTGCGTGCCTCCAGCAGTCGAGAGGTTGTACCAGGTGATTTTTAAAAACACGTTAGGAATAATGGATTTCAAGTGACTTTATTCAGTGTAGAAATTCATCTCATTTTATCTAAACTGTTTAATCTGACCATTTGACTTGGCATTGAAGAAGGAATCTTTAGAAAGAAAGTAGAATAAGTCACTCATTTAAAGGTTATTCAAATAACTGTGCCTTGGATTTTGTGACTAAGTTAAATTTATATTTATGTGTATGGAGAGAGAAATAGTAATCCTTCCCAACTGATTTAAGCTATTGTTAAGTGAATGAAGGCTGAATGAGGGAGAACCTCTTTGATCTCTGGCATTATTTGAAGGTACTTTGTTTGGAAAAACTTTTATTTTTTTTCTCCTCATAATTTATATACAGTGAACAGCATTTTAAATATAAGAAATGAAATTTTCGGGAGTCAAATGGGTGAAGGTGTCATGCAAAGTTTTCAATGTAGCATAATTACAATGGAAAACCTATCTTTTCACATACTTAGGATTTTATTTATTTATTTTTGCAGGATGAGTAAGAGATACTTACAGAAAGCAACAAAAGGAAAACTGCTAATAATAATCTTTATTGTAACCTTGTGGGGGAAAGTTGTATCCAGTGCAAACCATCATAAAGGTAAGGTCTGTTTTCTTCCTCAGCTACCTGTAGGAGGGGACTCCCTTCAACACACACGGCTGTGTTCTGCCTTTACTAGGCTATTAGTTTCACTAGATATGGGTCCCCTCTGGCAATTCTCTTTGAGTAAAAATGCAGAGATAGTTATCCCTAATATGGCTTTGGTAGGGGAAGCATGATTATTTAAATGTTTCCAGGATAATTGCCATTTCTGCAAACAGTGTTCAAAGAGTATGGGCTTGTGACTCTGACTTTCTCCTGTCATTTACATTTTAAAGATAGGGATGTTAAAATGTTGAGTTGACATGTAATAAAGATGAGTTTCAGATTGCAGTCATCCTGGTAATGAAAGCATCTTTAATGATACGTATCTTAATAGTATGTGTATATGGAAATTTTCCTTCACTGCTTTTTGTAAATCATATTTCTTTGTGCCAGAGTACCTTTGTAACCACCCTTTGGACTCTGCATCTAGTATGATATTTAGCAGGCTTAATTCTACCATACAACAGAGTGAGGATATTTGTTTTATATATGTTTTAAGCTTGACAGCTCAAAATTATGCCCTGTCTGTTCTCTTTTTTGAGCACAGTACTCATAATGAATAGCTACCTCTTTCCAAATGAATTAAATGGGGCTATTTCTGAACTGTCCCTACCATAATCATGTATTTACAACCTGGGAAGTCAATTTAGATTTTGCTGTGAAATATGATTTTACAGTTCAATTCTCAGTCTTCTGTAAATTCTAGAGGCTGGCAGCTTACTTTCTTATTTTATTTTGGGATGAAAGGGTCATAAGGACTGCCTTGAATTCTGGAACGCTGAAATTAGTTACACATGTGCATTTAATTAGCATTACATGGAACATGAACACCGGGGAGAGGGAAGATGTGAAGGAGTGATGCCTATCAGGCACAATCTTTACCCCCTGCGTTGAAACCAAAGCGTCCTCTTTCTCGATAGGAATTTTATGAAGAGGTCCTTCATATTTCATTATCCTGTTTTTGTCCTGCTGTGTCTATTATATGTATCTTCTTTTCTTTAATACTGCACAATGATCCACAAATCAAACTTTTAAGTTCTCTTTGATAATTGTTATTAGTGTAAAATTAATGATATATTAAGCAGGATATTATTCCAAATTGGCAAAAATGAATCAAACTTAAAGACAAAATAGTGTTAAATATTCACCTTTTAAAAAGCGTCGAAGACCACAGGCCCCAGACCCCATGCCTTGGGCATAACAAGACAGACACGTCATCCGTACTATCCAGAGGGATGGCCACCCTAAGTGCCCCTCCCCAGCTTAAAATAATCGTTGAGAGAAGATGGGGAGAGTCACAGTACCCGTGGGTGTCAGCCTGGTGAAGCAAGGGTTTGTGATAAAGATGCTTTTCATCTCCAAAGCCAAGTGATGAGGTCTTTAAGAGAATCACGCATGAAGACTGCCCCATGGTGAATATTACATAAAATTTTCAAAGCTACTTTTGAAAATTTTCAAGTTGTGTTTGGGCTAGGCTAATTCCAAAGCTAAGATCTTTTTTAACTTTTTACCCAGAAAATACTTCTTGAACATAAGCGATTATACATTGTCTCAGGAAAGCTACTTAAAATGCCAAAGCCTGTACATTATACAAGGTAGAATGTTGTGCTGTTTTGGTATTTCATTTCCAACCTGCCACTGATATTTTAGATGAAGATTTTAGGAAAGATTTCTCCATACCTTTCCCTTTTCCTCCTTCCCCTTTTCCTTTCTTTCCTTTGTACTCTTTATAGAAAATGTCCCTTTTGTTTAAACTATTTTACACTTAAAATAAAAAGTATAATGTATATGTGCATTTCAGGGCGTGTCCATAAAATGAACACTACCGTGCTCACCACCCAAATGAGAAGTGTAACTTTTCTGATACTCTTGACACTGGCTAAGTGTGCTACTCTGATTCCATTTCTTTGTCTCCTTACCCAAGATAAGCACTATTCTAGATTTTGTGATTATAATTTCTTTGCTTTTGTTTGAAATTTCACCATGTATGTATATATCTCCAAATGGCATATTGGTTAATTTTGGTTGTTATTTAATTTACATACGAGCATTATACTGTATTTTTCTGTTTTGCCTAATGATATATTTGTGATATTTATTATAGTTGATGGCACATAGCTGTCGTTTTTTCATTTAAAAAAATTCTTTCTCCTTATTTTATTGTATGAAGTCATCACAGCTTGTGTATTTGTTCTCTGGTACAGAAATATTAGATGTCCTGTTTTTTCGTCATTATGAACAATGTTTCTATGAACATTCTTATACTTGTCTCCTGGTGCTCATGTGTGAGGGTCTCTCAAGAGCACATTCTGAGGAACAAAACTGTTGGGTCACTGGCGTTCAGCCTTACCAGGGTAGGCCAAATGGTTTTCCAAATTGTAGTACTTACAAAGTTACGGTATTTTCTCACTATCTTTGTCATCTGCTGTATCTGCAGTTACTCTCCTTCTTCTGTCTCAGTAGTGCTCATTTGTATCATATCTCTTTTTCTCCTGATTCGTCTCCCCAGAGTTGGTTAATTGTATTAGTTTTCGAAGGACCAACTTTTTTATTTATTGGTTCTCTCACTTGAATCATCTTGTATGTTATTACTATCTGCTCTTAATGGTATTATTAATTTTATTTTTATTTATATAAAAGAACACTTAAGTTATACTTACTAATACTTGCCAGGCACTTGTGCAGAAGTGAAACTTCCCTGGATTTCTCAGTGCTATCATAGAAAAAGCCCCAGCCTCCTGACACTCTACAAATACCATGTGGGTTAGAGCTATAGTAATTTGTGTAATTAAGTGTTTTGATTCAAAAGGAGAAAAAAACTCACCTCCACATGAGAGCTCACTGGTTAAGTTCTCAAAAAGCCAGAAGGGCTGGGGCACTAACTGCCTAGGTATGAAACCCCGACGTTGGAGACACTTGCGGTTTATCTGGTTCTTGAAAAGATATATTTATATTTCACAAGGTTAGAGGAAGAAACTAGTATCCTTTCCATCTCACCTCAGAGGAGCAACAGATTTTTTTCTCCTTTCGGAGGAGAATGACTCTCTCCAGCATCTAAGTGGAAAAAAATCCATTGTTCTCTGTCGCTGTCCTGTAAAGCGTTCAGCTACTTATGCAGGGCATTTGGCCTACTTTTTCAACATGGGTATGGCTTTAGGGCAAGGGAGGCCATTCACTTATTTTTTTATTGTGAAATAATTAATAAGAAATCTCTCTCTGATCCAGAGCACCTTGTGTGAGCATTCAAGATAAAAGTAGTAAAGATAACTAATAAAATCCAACAGCTTGAGTCTAACAGTTTTACATATATCAACTCATTTATAATCCTCATAACAATCTGTAAGGTAGGTACTATTATTGAACCTATGTCACAGATCAGAAATGTTAGCAAAGAAAGTTTAGAAAATTTGTCCCAGGTTGCGTATCAGAGGTAGGATTCAAATCTAGGCAGTCTTGCTCCATAAAACATGATATATAGCTAGCTGTGAATTTCTTTTATTTATACTTTTTGGGGTTAGTTGAATTCCTGAATCTATAGATTGGAGTCTTTCTTGAACTTAGGTGTATGTCAGTTTTCTCTTCCTGTTCTCCATGTCTTTCAGCCTTTATATTTTCCACCTTCAAGTCTCTCTGAGTTTTTTCTGGGATATTATTCAGGTCTTTCTACCACACTAATTTTGTGTTCTCTTGTGATTAATCTGTTTTTTAATCCATATGAGTTTTAATTTTAAACATTATATGATACTAAAAATTATTTTTTCTTGTAAATTGGGTTAGCTATTGATATATTTATTGTTCTCCCTCATGCTTTCATTTCCTCTTTTTATACATTATATAGATATCATTATATACATTACATATATAATAATATGATAGATACTATATAAAATATGTATAATTTGATTTGTTGATTTTATTTTATGAAATTTTTGCATTTTCTTTCTGGTGAATCTCACTCATGATACTTTATTTCAGGGTTTGTGATTTTTTAAAATTTTGGGAGCTAATGTTTATTGTAATTATATTGGTGAGAATTTTAAAGTCCTGTGCTTAGGATTCTTTCTTCCAGAGAGGATTTGTATATGCCGTGTGCTTTAGGTGAGAAACAGAGCCAAGTCAGGAATTCTTATTTATGTTATTTGTTGAAAGAGCACTTTCAGGAGGAGGCCACGGGCAGCAGGACAGAGCAGGAGACAAAAGCTAGGACAAAGAGAGTCTTATTTGGAGGACAGCCTGGTCAGGTCCTGGGAGGCTCTGAAACATGAACTGCTCCACAGGATTGGTCCCTCCTTGAGGCGAGATACTCAGCCTCTTCTACCCTTGTGTCCATTTGTCATTGGCTGTGGATCTGTTACCCATGGTATGGAGGTGCCTCCTTTAGGGAATTGACTATCAGAGAGCAAGTCTCTCCAAACAAGGGGGAGGGGCTGTGAATTTTAATCTCCTAACATTCACAGCAGGTGGAAGAAAGGTGCACAGCCTGTAGAAAGGACCCAGGTAATGAACTGGCCTGTATTTCACATTAGCCTGTGCCTTGTGCCCCTCAGATCTGCTTGCTTCTCATTTAAGTTCACCCCATCTGGCCAAAGCTTATCAAAGATTCTGGTCAGTTACAATTTCCAAGAAAATATACGTAAGGAAAAGTGCGGGCCGTTACTGATATCATCTGCCCAAGCCCACAGCCGTTTTAGAGTCCCAGCACACTTCTGCTCACTGAGGAGGCTTGCCTCATGTTTTTTACAGGTCGCATAACTGAGGGTTCTGATCCCTGGATTATCATGCTCTTAACGCTGTGGTTATTGTACTTACAGATTTGTAATTACAATTAGCCATGGCGATGCCAAGAAATGACCAGTGGATCATCTGAGAGCCTAGCACATTCTTCCCCATCCCAGTGCACAGCAGCTACCCTTGAGGGTCCTCTACCTCATCAATATCTAACTCCTATTTTTTCT